CAAGGAACAAGTGTCTCAAATGTGACAAAAACCTGACAGGACTTCACCTATTTGAACAATTGTCCCCCAAATACTGATTTTAGGAAATCATTATTTAATGTATTTCAAACCTTCATTTTTTTGGTGTTCTTTATTCATATTTTTCTAACAACAGGTATGGTCAACCCAAATTTCCTTCTCTTTCTTGACCTCTCTACCTCACTGATCATTCTCTTAAATTGATGTGCATAACCACCACTACCACCTATGATTCAATGTGTTGCTTAGGCATTGTGTTTGTGTTATGAATGAAAATTGGCCATGAGGCCACGGTGAAGGAGACGTTTTGGAAAGTTAACAAATTATGTGTGGAATCTGAGGTAGGAGCATGTGAGGCATGAATTGGGTAAAGGGAAATAAATAAATAATTAGCAATAGAATAGAAAAAAAGAGTTAGGGCAATTGTGTTATGAGCTCCTATCCCGAGCGCCATACATAAATCGTTAACTCCCGAAATGTGCCTTCCGTCGTGGCCTTAAGGCCAATTTCATTCATAACACACTGGTAATGAAGACATTGATATTGGGGCAAGAGGCTAGGAGCTACTAACTCTTTCAGTGAAANTACTTAGGACCTTCAGGCCTGAAACTTTGAATGCTAGAGCCTATGTTTGAAATTTATTTCAAAGCCTACATTTGAGATTTGATTCTAGTCAACTAAATTTTAATGCTGTATACATTTCGGCTATATTTTAAAAAGGTTCCTGAAAGCGGCTATTGTATGCATTTTGCCCAAATGTTCTGGTTCACCCCAAATTCGCAATGACGCCATTCCGACGAGAGCCCGAGGAGGACATTGTTGTCATTTCTCCAAAGAGAAATAGAAGTTGAATTACCTCTGCCCTGCAGCTACGGACTACGGAGTATCCAAATTCTTTAATCTCACAGGCAGAAGAGGAGAGAAAAAATGGGAGGGGGAATGGAGTACAACAAGAACAAGTGGATCGAGGAATGGGGAGCCGCGAGGGAGAACCTGGAGCACAACTTCCGCTGGTCTCGACGTAACCTGGCGATTGTTGGTATCTTCGGCATCGCCGTCCCTGTCTTGATTTACAAAGGAATCGTCAAAGAGTTCGTAAGTCCCTCCGATTTTACATTTTATCTCGTCCTCCTAATCAACTTTGCTACTATTCATTTCTGTGCATTTATTGTGGTTCAGTGGATCTGCTTTTTAGCCCCAACTATTGAGCATACATAGCATTTGCATTAATAAATTAAGCAGATTTACTGGTTCTAGTCCTTGCAAGGCAATTTGTCGAGTTCTTAAAATAACTAAAGATTTGAGTCTTCAAACGCTCAAAATTTCCTGCTATTTTGGAAGGATATATCAACGCAAGTTGGATATCAAGTGTTAACTAAATAGAAAAATCCCGATTTCGATCATCTTTGACGCCTCCTCCGTGCCGAGAACATATACACCACCTGTTTGGTGTTTACCTTGGGAGGTTGGTGCACTCTTCTGGGAAATCCAAGAAATAAGCTTGCATAACACATTCAACAATGGATTTGGAATTTGTTGCGCTAGCAGAAGCAGGCAAAGAAGTCCAGTGATTTAGGAATTTTTGTTTAGAAATTCCATTGACTTTCAAAAAGTGACAGCTCAATTTCAATTCACTGTGACAGTGAAGCCACTCTAACATGAGCATATAGCAATATATATAATGGGAAGTCACGAGACATAAGTCTTCGACATGATTAGAGAAATTTAATTAAAAATGGAATTATCTCTTTCATACTTGTGAAGTCAAAAAGTAATTTGGCTGGTCCATTTGCCAAATCTCTTGCAAGAGAATTTTAATGAAATTACTTCAAGTTTGATTTAGTTAAAACTCCTTTATTAAGTCCCCCAATAATGGCAACCCTACCCGACACTTGTGAATGAGTAGTTTTGGGTTCAAAGGGTAATAACAAGTTGTTGATAAGTGGACTTTTAACTACTTAAGAAGAAACATACTAATACTGGCTGTCACAAATAAGAGAGTTTAGTTTTAATGCTCTTAACAAGGTTCAGTTCAAGGAACAAGTGTCTCAAATGTGACAAAAACCTGACAGGACTTCACCTATTTGAACAATTGTCCCCCAAATACTGATTTTAGGAAATCATTATTTAATGTATTTCAAACCTTCATTTTTTTGGTGTTCTTTATTCATATTTTTCTAACAACAGGTATGGTCAACCCAAATTTCCTTCTCTTTCTTGACCTCTCTACCTCACTGATCATTCTCTTAAATTGATGTGCATAACCACCACTACCACCTATGATTCAATGTGTTGCTTAGGCATTGTGTTTGTGTTATGAATGAAAATTGGCCATGAGGCCACGGTGAAGGAGACGTTTTGGAAAGTTAACAAATTATGTGTGGAATCTGAGGTAGGAGCATGTGAGGCATGAATTGGGTAAAGGGAAATAAATAAATAATTAGCAATAGAATAGAAAAAAAGAGTTAGGGCAATTGTGTTATGAGCTCCTATCCCGAGCGCCATACATAAATTGTTAACTCCCGAAATGTGCCTTCCGTCGTGGCCTTAAGGCCAATTTCATTCATAACACACTGGTAATGAAGACATTGATATTGGGGCAAGAGGCTAGGAGCTACTAACTCTTTCAGTGAAATAGAAGTTTAATATGTTCTAGTTAGGGCTCAAATTACATTCTGAAAGGTTGCCGCATTGTGATTTTTAGCAAATATTGGCTTTGTAAATAGAATTTTTTTTGTTCTTATTCATCTCGTTGGTTTCGTTTGTATTTTGTATTGATAAATTTGGCATGAGAAGAGACTTATGTTATTTGAAGTTGATAACTGAGTTTTTGCTATGAAACCAAACAACAAAGTATCATTCGAAACCAAATCCAGCGATCTGAATTTCTTTTTATGGTTGGGTTCTAATTTTAGTGAATTGATAATTTCACAAGCCAACAAATAAGTTCATCTTAGTTTTATTTAATTAGAATCTATAATAGGAATATCATTGTATTTATGATTTATTTCATAAAATATCTTCAGTCGATGGTGCTCAGGGCTTTGATCTAGTGGTAGAAGCGTAATATGTGATGCGTGGGTTAGATGCACGTCATGAGTTCAAACCTTGCCGCACACAAAAGTCTGGTAATATGTGATGCGTGGGGTTAATACTACTACTTCTTCTACCAGTCTCCATTTTCAGCCTATGTGTATAACTTTTGATAAAAATCAATGATCTCCCTCTTGATTCTCCGTGGTTCCTCAATTATTTCTCCCTGAATCACTAGATGATCAATGTTATTATTTCTTTTATGAGCACTATCAACTTTATGGAAGAATTTTGTATTTCCGTCCCTTTCTTTTAGCCAAAGAGTTTTGGATCTTTGCCCCCATGCAATTTCTTCATTTTAATGTATTCCTCATATTCCATTAAGAGAGATGCCTTCTTAACAATTTCTTCCTCTGTCAGAGCTCTAGCATCCTTTATTGAGTCCAAATCTGCCAGTTGATTCAGAAGATTGCTTTTTTGTATGCCTAAATTTCCATTACTACTTCTGCTTCATTCCTTAAGCTTGCCTTTGAGTGTTTAAGTTTGCAAGTTAGTAAATGATCTGGTCTTCCTGAGAAGCAAAAGAATTCCACCAATTTCTGATTCTGTCTACAAACCCTTCAATATCCAACCACCAGTTTTCAGACTTAAAATAAGTTTTGACTTGCTCCCAGGTACCGTTGTAAAAGACATAGGGACATGATCTGAGATCAATCTCTGGGGTAGGGTTTGCTTGATTTTTCTAAATCTGTCATTTCATTCTTCAGAGATTAAAATTCTGTCAACTCTGGAGGCAATGACTTGGTTATCCCCTAATTAAAGGATCCCCCTTCCAGTTAGAGATCGATTAGGTTAATAGCTTCTATAAAAATCTGAAAATTCCACAATATCTCTGGACCTCTTATTGCAATTCCTTTTTTCAGAAGAAAATCTGGTGACATTAAAATCACTACAGTCAGCACATGGTCCTTCCATCAACCCCCTAACAGCACCTACTTCCCCTGTACTGCTCTCCTTTCAATATAGCATCTAGGAGCATACACCCCTGTTATGTGGCACCCAAAATCTTGCAGAAAGGCGTCAGTTTTGCAAGTCAATGTATGGGCTTTAATCTGCAACACTTCCTCTTTACATACTCTACAATCTCATAACATTATAATACCCCCTTGTACCTCTGGCTTCCAAGCATGCGACCAAAAAAAAACCCTGCTTAACCAATTGATTTATTTCCCCCTCTAGTTTTGTCTCTTGAAAACAGATAATATCTGCAATCCAGTTGAGTATTAGACTCTTCACAATTCTTCTTTTCTCCACATCATTCAGTCCCCTTATATTCCATGAGATTAATTTGATCTTCATAATTCAATTGGTAGTAGGCCTTCCCCCCTGCTTCTTCTCCCATTTCCCTTGAATTTTACATTAAAAGAAACAAAACCTTTCAGTTCCTGAGTACCTTTGAACCTGGGTCTCTTAATATCCAGTTCTGACTCCATTCTTCTAGCTTGTGTACAGCTATCTATCTGCATCAGCAGCTACAAAGCCTCCACTTCATGCCCCCGGAATCTACCCTAAACATTTTGCTCAGTTTGAGCAAATTGATGTACTCATACTGTTGCATCTATCTCTTTCCCAAGAAGTGAGTCCTGGTTTTGAACATGAAGAGGCTCAAAAAGGAGGATGATTTAACAGTGATCACAGTAGGTTAAAACTGGGGTGTAAGAGAAGGGGTGAATTCCGGTGGAGAATCACACCGGAAAAGGTTATTCTACAGTCCTAGGAAGTAGGAAAGATACGTGTCTCGGGAAAAGTGCCCGGGAGCATTTTCACTGTCCAATTACTTCAAGCTGGAGAACTTTTTAGTCATTTCCCAATTCCATTTTAATGTCCCTTTGGCGCCATTGACATAACATATCTCGTTACTTTAGGTTAGGTGTTTGTCAGGAGTTCTTATCGTGGTTAAAGATTTTTGTGTCCGTATAGAGATAAGTGTGGAATTTGGAGAACTTCTAGTTTTACATAATCCTGAATTTGCCTTAGGAGAATTATTTAGGAGCATCTTGACAACTTTTGGATTTTTTCTTAAATAAAGAATGTTTTGGAGTAAAAGTTAGTAAGTAAAAGTAATGACGTTTGGCTAATTGTAATTTTTGAAGATTTATGAATGTTTTGTGAGTGGAAGAGTTTTTCTTTGAATAACACCAGTAAACCACTTATTTAGAAAAAACAAAACAGATTTTGATTGTTTTTTAATAACCTTCTCGAAGAAACTTGAATCATTTTGGAAAAAGTTTTATTTGCAAATTTCAAAAAGGTTTCCACACACAAAGGATAACTTAACATTAGACTGGAATGGCTCTGAATATAGTGAAATATGCATACAGAGGGACCCCAATTAATTCGGGATTGAGGATGTAATTAATTTATAATGACCTATGCCCAGTCAAAATAGGGTTTCTGAAGGTTTATGGATGGAGTAGCCACTTTGCTTTTTCCCCTTCGTGGTGCTTGATTTTTATTGGGCGTAACTAGAATTTGTTTTGGGAGTTTAGCTTTCTTCTATTTGTGATCTTTATATTTTTGTGCATATATAAGAGTGAGTTGCTCTAGTGGTGAGCACCCTCCATTTCCAACCAAGAGGTTGTGAGTTCGAGTCACCCCAAGAGCAAGGTGGGGAGTTCTTGGAGGGAGGGAGCCGAGGTTCTATCGGAAACAGATTCTCTACCCTAGGGTAGGGGTAAGGTCTGCGTACAAACTACCCTCCCCAGATCCCACTAGTGGGATTATACTGGGTTGTTGTTGTTGTTGTTGTTGTATATTTTTGTGCATATATGTTCTCAATATTGGAATTTAGTTTGCATTATTGTTAATTTGTCACGAGTTGCCTCTTATTAGGATCCTTGCCCACTCTTTACAGTTTCTTAGTAGTATCAGCTGCATCATACAATTGAAAAGCCATTGTACGTGCTATGAATTTGAGTCCTACATCTCCTATATCTGAGATCTCAAATCAACTTTGTTACGGGTTTTCAGTAAACATCAAATTACACTTTTAAATTCAAGTGGTATCTGTGTAATGTAGCTTAAAGACTGTTTTTACTGCATTTTCTGTACTGGAGATATTATCACTACTATTGTTAATACCTTGTGGCGTAGTGTGAGAAGAGATTAGTTATTATTGTTTTGTTCCATTATATTTTAGCCTCAAATTCTACTTTTTGATGAGTACTAACACAATGGTAATGGTTGACAGCATTTGCATGATGATGAGTGGGGAAGGCCACGCACAAAGTTTGTACCATGAGCTTTTATAGCTCTGTAATAATCTTGGAAGGAGGACAATTAAATACTTCCTAGGTGACCTCAGCTTGTCAATTTCTGTTTGAACGAACTTTTTTCTCAAAAATAATTTTGGATCTGCCCTTTGAAATCTCACTCTTGGTGGCTTTTGACATTGGCTACTATATGATTGTATCTCTTGAAAATATGAACTTTGATGTTTTGGTCTGTGTGTGTGCACGCGCGCTAGGGTGCTTCTGGTATTTGAATATCTGATGCAAGCTCGTTTTAATCCGTGGCTTGTGAGGGATAAGAGATAGGTGTTGGATACATTTGATTATTTGAGGAAGTGTTCATATGCTGGCAGTACATAACGTTTGATACCCTGTGTTAAATAAAACTTCATGGCCTCCTATTTATCAAATCTCTTTAAGTTCTGTTCAAAGATTCGAAGAAATGCCAAAATGTCTACTTGTGGATGGTTACAAAGGTTGAATAGAGTGTTGTTACTCATGTCGAGTCTAGTAAGTGTTTTGGCATCCTTGTTTCCTCCACCAGTAGATGATCGTTTCCTTTAATCCAGATTTATAAAATACAAGTTAGTGAGACTCCAAAGTCACGCCGAGTTAAAACTAGAAGGTGGAAATTGGTGTGAACTCTTCTTCTTGAGCAATTTGGACATTTTATATTTATGAGTATGAGAAAAGGTACTTATTTCATTTGACGGACCGGAAACATAGCATACATGTGGATGAGACCACATTTTCCTCACTCAATTTGAGGTAATTGAAGACTTCTTAGAACAAGTGAGGTGAGCAATCTGAGTTGATGAATGTGCTACAGAACGCATATGGATGTCCCAAGTCCTGATGCGCCAGAAACATACTGTTTCCTGTCCTCGTCTTCCCCAAGTTAAGTAGGATATAAGACTTCCAAAATTAGATTTTTTTTAAGAGAATGCAAGAAAAACAGGGCTCAGAGATGAGAGATAGCCACCGTTTAGAGACAAGCTTGAAAGTGAAGAGAGGTTTTGACGGGAGTTAGAGTAGCTAGAATCTTGGTTAGAAGATCATCGTTGCCTTCAATTGCTAATGCACTACCAGAGTACACTGTTTCTTCAACTTTCTTCATCTTCTTTGATATGCTTCATAGCAAGCAGACAGTCTGATTCACTTCCAACTCTTTATTTTCCTTTCTTTGCACATTCATGGAATGTATTTTGTCATACTAAAAATCTTTAAGTTTTTTGCCGACTTGAAACAGGAAAAATGCAATGACAGAAGATACATGGTGTAAGCCAATGACCCATTTCCTTGTAGCTAATGGAGTTTTTGGACAAAAACATTCTTGATATGTACTCTCAACTTAAATTTCATCCTTTAAGTATCTATGTACACAAAAAAACATAACGTTTGTCAAAATTAGGAGAATACATCCTACCTTTATTGAAAAACGGCCGCATGGTGCGCTAAGCTTCCGCTATGCGCAGGGTCCGGAGAAGGGCCGGATCACAAGGGTCTGTAAAACAATTTGATCGCCTGTAAGCTGCATGGACCAGTGAGTTACAATCACATCTTTTTTTCATCTTAATCAGTTGATGCTTCTCTTCCTAAACAGTAACTTCCCCTTCTGCATCAAATTAACAAATAAGAGCTGAAGAAAATGATCATGCCATTCGCCAACATTCTACATATACCACAAAAATCCATATCTTTTCTCATTTGGTTCGCTTAGCACCTAAAATCCTCCAGCAGAAAGTCACTTACCAATACATTTTCAACAAGAGAGATTGTTATCTTCTTTAACGCTGAAATTGGCTGCAGGTTCAGTAACTTTACCCTTTGGCCTACTGCGTCAAGGAAGGTTTTAGTTATCCTTATTCCAAAAAAAATATGCGTTACATCTTCTTTATACCACTTGTCAGTTGAACTAAAATGAGGTCATAAAACAGAAGCTACTCCAGCGCATCTTTAAAAATAATTAGACTAGCTATGCTTAAAATCAAACAAGAAGGAAAAACAAATGTTAGCTGAGACAAATAGGTATTGAAGCAGGAAGATCCCATTATCAAACTAGCTATGCAATCAGGCATTAACCATCTACTTCTGAAGACACTACCAAGATGGATCACTTCACTTTAACCCATTATCATCAAAGTCATCAACAACTCATTGAGTTGAGCATTAGCAACACTCCTACCAATGTATCCAATGTAGCCTTGTTTCGACTATAATATCCAATGTATACTTGTGTAATCTCGGTTGATGAGCCTGCTACTTCAACAGCAAGAGTTTATTGATGTGAAATGCATCATCCAAATATGGGCTAACGTAAAAGACAAACATGTGCTCTCTCTGTCTTGCAAAACCTTAACCAATGTCATGTTAACAGACGTCGCAACTCAGTGCAAAAGTATGATGAAAGTGCCGAACTACTGTTTTAGTGATTTCTCATTTTGTGAGGTGTCCATAGGAATTTGAAATTCCCGCATAGCAAAGGAAAATTAGCAATATAAATGCAAGTCAGACACCTCATTCTAAAAATATGAGGTATTCGATGTTGTTACTACTGCAAGTATACATTTTTTTATTTTTTTTTATTTTTATAATGTGAATATTTTCCTTGGATGCTAGAAAGAAATTAATTGTGGTCAATTAAATCCCTAAACCAATCTCAGCAAACATGTTATGATATCATTGAACAATTTAGAACTCAAGAGAAAGGAATCATGCAGTTTTATGATAATACAGTAGCATTCAATTCTCAAGTTTCAAAAACAACAGCTAATAAATCAAGCGTGATGACTAAGTCAATACCAATATAAATAAAGAGTTTACCACAAGATTTGTAGTCAACTAACAGTTGAAAAAAGGAGTAGGACAAAGACCTTCAAAGAGGTTGCCCCGTGCTGTATTGCCCTGACAACTGGCCTATTGTAGGAAACTCAAGTGGTTTCTAACTTGATAAACTTTTTTTTTCTTTAATAGAGTACAAATTTTATTGAAATCCGAAGCTACTAGCACTAAGATGGTGCTCAACAGTACAACTTCAAAGATTACAGCATAGTCATTCCCGTAGAGAGCTAATAAATTCTATCAAGTGGTTTCTAAACTTTGCATCACCGAGACCAATGAAGAAGGGCAAATATACTCATGCTATCAGGATCAATTGTTTCGACTGCCCTCATCTAATTCTGAGATAATCTATGAAAAATGCTATAAACAAAGATTGATTTCATTCTTTGGGGACACAATTGCATATTAAAATTTTATATTAGCACCGACCGAAAATCTCAGAGAAGCTATTTCTATTCTATGGATACCTTCAAGAATATAAAAAAGTGACAGCCATCTAATGGAATTAATTTGACTCAAAGTTACTATTGCAGTCTTCAGTAGGAGAAAAAAAGTGAGAGAAGACTTAAAACAAAGATTGTAAACCCTGAAATGCTAAACTCTGCCTGATTTTAAACAAGATAGAACAACCAAAGTGTCAAGACATATTTCCTATATAACTTCTGGTTTATCAGTTTCTTCCTACCAAGTATGGATACTCAATCAGATGATGAACTTTCCTTATAGATCTCCTAGACGGAATCTTCTCAACAGCACGTAACGGCGACAAGCGTAGCTTGCTGCAAGTACTATCTTTTAAGCTGATTAATTTAACTTGGCGACGTGGTAGCTAGATGCCCAAATATGGTTCCTGTTTCTCTTCTCTTGCCATAACAAAGAGCATAGTAATATCAACAACAGAAAATTTTCTTGGGATAGTCATTTGTTCCCGTAGATCAATGCAATAATTTAAGCTCCAAGAGGAGTAGTCCTTTTCCAATTGAAAGATGTCAAGTTGATGCCACTCACCTAATGAAGTGCCAAGCAGATACAAATGATCATGTATACATCCACAGTAGTATTCTTTTTTCATTTTTGGCATTGGATAAGTGTGGATAATTTCCCAATCAATATCAAAAATAACAAAAGCTATCTAATTGACTGAATGTCCAAAAAATTGCTCCATTGAAGAAAACTCCATCAGCATAATCAATATGTTTTTTAAAACAGAACTCCCGATTGCTTCCAGGAATTTGTCTCTGAAGAGTATATTTCAATATGGAGATATATGCCAACGCTAATAACTTTGTAATGAGGTGATATTGAATGGTCAAAAGCCAAACTCATGTCAAGTGGAAACATATTTGGGCTGGGAAGAGTAGTGAATTGCTTTATAGTTGGATTACACACATAGTACTTCCTCTCATAGTAAGAGCCACAAAGAAAGAACTAAACCTTTAAATTTTTGTTTACCTTTGAGGGGAATGTACTAAAGGTCTCCAGAGGGAAGTAAAAGAGGGATCGGAGATAAGAGACAGCCACCATTTCCTTTTGGAAACAAGCTTGAAAGTGAAGAGGTAATAGCAGAATCTTGGTAAGAACATCATTGTTGCCTTCAATTGCTTCTGCACTAAGAGAGTAAGCTTCTTTGAGAGGCCTCTTTGCTCGTTTGCGCCAAGCCATAACTCTTAGACGTCAAAATCAACAGTAAACACTATGGAGGGAAACGAAGAGTATTCCAGAAGATTGAAAATGAAAGAGTATCCCACAAATCTCTATATTTTACATGGTATCGTATATATTTTCGAAAATATTTGGGGAGTCTTACATAAATGTTCCAAAAAAGCTTAACAACCTCCAACGATTAATCATAATCTTACCAAAACTAGCCAAACATATATAAAAGTTGAAAACCCAAATAAATAAGGTTCTTTCTCTCCAAGAATCACACATCTCCTTCCATATTTTCAAGAGTGATTAGCAACAGTAGATGCAAGACGGAAAGGGAATTTTATGGATGAAGTATCAAATAAAGTGATGAAATATAAAAAAATATATATACAAGATTCCAAAAATCTAAGCAAAAAAACTACTTTTTTTCAATGGGTATGATTGAGATTCATTGAAAACATATAGACGAGTCAATATACAAATTTTGAGGAGGATTGGAGGTGATTTGGACTGATTTGGTATCAAAATTCGTATTTAAAATCGAGTTCAAAAAATTCTTCTGCGACATATGTATCAAACATGTATCACGAATGCATCTCACACGCAGGTATCCATGGATATACATGTGATACACATTTGATACAAATATGATACATATGTGATACACAGTGTGATACACCTATCATTTTTTTTATGTTCATCTTCTATTTCGAATTTTCAATTC